CCCCTGCGGGGGCGCTGGGAGTGGCGGCGCGGCTGCGGGGGAAGTTAGCAAAAGCGCCCCGGATCCAGGGCTCATGGGAAACTCTGTGTTGGTAAAGAAGGACGACGAGGAGGAGGAGAGCCACAGGCGAATCAAGAAGCTGAAAACTGAGAAGGTAGGATACAGTCGCCCTCCCGAGGTCCTGCTCCCTGTGTGTGCACGGTGCGGGGTGCGGGGTGCTTCGGTGCGCTGTACTCTCCGTGCTTTCGGGGCCTGGGTGAGAGTCCTGGGACACACGGAGCGTGCTTACCTTAAGCCCGGACACGGGGTGCTTTCTTGGGCGCACGGTTTGGCTGGTGCTCCCCTGCGGCTGCCGGTGGTGCTCGCGTTTGGGGCCGAGGGTGGGAGGGGCCGAGGGAGCCGGGTACCTTTGCCCTAGAGAGGGGGGCTCCCGGCCAGTCAGCGAGTCGCGATGGCTTCTACAGAAGGCCAGCTTATGCGTCCACTTGACTGTTGCCTGATTTCTTCCTGAAGGGAACTGCCGCGTTTTCGTGTGCACATCTATAGTTTTGCAAGCGATGTGTCCTTGGGTGCAGGGTTCAAATTCCCTCTGTGGAGAGGAATATGGAGCACTCCAGTCTCCGTGCCACCCTCATCCCAATCATTGTTTTGTTATTCTCTCCAAAATACTTCCTCAAAGGGTGACCTTGGATGGGTTCCTTCTGCTCCTGGTCCTGAATTAAACCCCAAGCTTGGCGTGTTGGATCAGGGGCTTCCTCAGTAAAACTGGGATGGTCTTGGTGGCTGCTAGGGCTCTTAACTTTGTCCCCTCACCCATTTGTAGCTGGAGATTTGGGAGTGTTATCTCTTGAGTATCTAGCTTACTGGAGAGCGGGAAGGTTGGTAAGAAAAGTAAAATAGACGGTGTAACGATGGTCCCGAAATATGAAGACAGAGCCAGAGGGGCGACAGTAAGAGCAAGGCGAGAGGCGGGAATTGCTCGTTGCCCTTGAACAGTGCGGATAGTCACTTAGGCCATTGGGATCCTTGCCTCCGTCTGCGTCATTGTGTGCAGTTACACCTTGTCTGGCAAAAACCGCAGCCAGTGCTACGCTGCTCGGGGATGGAGGCCTGAGTCCTGCCTGAGTGGGGTGTGATTTTTGTGTACTGAGGAATGTCTGGGAACAGCAGATGCTGTGGCCACCAGACACAAGAGCTAGTTGAGTGTATGAGTGATCTTTGTGTAAAACTAATCTTGAGGTTAAATCTACAGGTTGTGGCTTGGTTACTTGGAAATGTGCTTAGTAAAGGATAGGATTCTTGCTGCTTCTGACTTGATTAGAATTTTAACTGGTGCTAATATGTCTTTAGGTAATTATTCCTATGTAAATTTATTCATGGTTCCTTAAGCCTTTCTATTTTGTCTTTGTGTACTCAACATATAAATTGGAGTATAAGGGTAAAGGAGAAGTAGATGGAGGTCAAAGTGTAAAAATGCCAAACTTGCAGAAGGGCATTGAACTTTTTCGTTTTTGTTTTGTTTTGTTGTTGTTTTTGTTCTCATCCTCTTGGTTAGAAAGCATAGCACGACATCATGAATTTAAATGAAGTTTTTAAAATCCCAGGTTTCGATTTTTATGTTTAAATATATAGTTTCACCTAATTTCCACTACAAGACATTTTGAAGTCTTATTACTTAGTACAGTAGGGCGTTTACTTTTGTTGCCAATAGTCTTCAGATTGCAGTTCTAATCTGCTTTAACTATCTGGATGAATTGCCCTAATCCAGTGCACACAATGGCTGTGGTAAGGAGTCAGAGCCATTTGATTGGATTCACTGGCTGCTTGGAATGTGGGAGGTGCTGCCCTTTTGCATTCGCCTTAGCCTTTTAATCTTCCAGCCAAATGTTCGCATTCAACAATTTTGTTTAGCTGGCAATCGGAGCATTTCAGGATCTCAAAGGCTGCTGTCATGGCAACTGAGATTAGCGCGTGGTGTCGGTTCTCCAGTTTTTGTGTTCTTTTAGCTTTCCAGTCACAGAGGAGACTGGGTGAAGAATGGAAGAATTAAATTATTCATATACATGCACCTCATTTTCAGTCAGCAGTATAAATGTGATCATATGAATTACATAAATGAAAAGCAAACAAGCCGCGGCTGGCCTGGACTGGGGGAGGGGAGAGTGCATGTTGCACTCGGATCCCCTCCTGGCCCAGTGTGGGGAGGGAGGTGCAAGGCCAACCTCACTCTTAGGAGTTGACACAGAGGGCTTGGGGGTGGCTGCAAGGGGTTTGGATCCTGCGGTGTTGGCCATTCTTGGCAGGGTGGGCCGTCGGCTCGGCTCGGGTTCCAAACATTCCGAAAGCCTTTCCTCCTCACCGCCACCTCCCCACAGAAAGACATAGCACTCCCTGGCATGAATGCCACCATGGGAAGTCACTGTTACTCCCCCAACCAGTGGCTGTGTCAAATCAGGGTTTAATTCAGAGAGCACTTCCTAACGGACCTGGTCTACTTGTCTAGGAAGCAAAGATGTAGTAGGACAAGCTTCACCTGACAAAAATGTTTCAGCTGTGAGGCATTTTGCGGAAAGGTTTTGTTTAGGTCAATGTATATGTTCTCATTTCAGCCTTGCTTCTCTGGGTTTGTGAGGAATAAACGTCTCAGGAATGGAGATGATTTGCAGTAATCACACGGGTCTCCTGAGGGACCACATGCAAAAACCAAACAAGAGGGTCTGTGTGCACACATTTCTTTTTTCCTGCTCTGAACATTCGCAGGAGATGCATAGGACTTGCTGTCACTGGTTAATTTTCACAGCTTGCTTACATGTCTATTTTTGGTCTGTTTATTCTGTTTCTTAACTATACAAAGTCACGTAAAACATGATACATTGGACTTTACGAAACCTAATTAAATCAATGAGTGTTCCACACCTTTATAGGAAAACCACAAGTATGTTGTAAAAGTCGCAACTGCCTTAATATGTGAACAAAAATCAAAACATGCCATAATTCTGCGATGTTTCACCTATATCTCTATAGCCCATTTTGTGGTTAAGCCACCGGTGACATGTCTGAGTAAGTAGGATCTGACAGGTTGGCTTTTGGTTGTTAAAACCTGTCTCTCCGGCTCCCCGTCCTTTCTTTCAAAGCATAGTAGTCTTGTGTTGCAGCCCTTTATGTATCCTCTTTACTCAGTTTTGACTTATCAGGGAGAAGGCAGTTGGCTGGGAGAAACAGTTATATAATATACGGGTTTATTTGCTAGAAAAACATGGGAAAATTCTTAAAAGCAGCTGGTACTTACATAGAAATGAATGACACGGGGGGGCACATAGTTGTATTTTAGGGTTCTATTCAGTACATATTTCAGGAAGAGAATTACTTATATCATAATATCATATTACCTTCATTGATATGGTCCTTGCCATCCTAAGAGGAGTCCTACCAACGGCCCTGTCTGTAAAGGATATCATTCCTTGTCTTCCCTTGTGGAAGCCTCTTTACACTTCACTTGGGATTTCTGGCACATTTTCTGAGTGTGAGCAGTTTAAGAATGCATTTTGATGAATGAGTTTTTTCTTCCCCTGCAGTTATGCCCCTCCCTCCCCAACAGTGCCACCTATGAATACTGCTTAGAGTGCAGTTTATCCACGGTGAAATAAAAGGGCAAGAAGGTCACTTGCTGTAATTAAAGAACAAAGTCCATTGTTGTTGGACAGCAGACTGTTTTGAAAGCTATGTAAGAGATTTAGCTGTTAAAAGCGTTGGTCACTAAGGGTGGTTCCCGACCAGCACTGTCCCAGGCCTCGCTTTTCTGTAGGCTTCCTCCTTGAAGGGTGGCGGGGCTTTTTAAGGTGGGTCCTACCCTTTCCCCAAGAAAGGTCTGTGTGAGAACACGTGCAGCTTGTAGTATTTGTGCAATCAGGCCAATCACTAAATTCTGAGTTCAGTATTTGAATTGTTAGTTTTGGTGGGGAGATTAAACATGTCCATAACTGTTCAAGACTGAGCTAAAGAAGATAATGTATAGCAACTTTTAATAACTTTGCATATAGTCTGTAAAACCAAAATGAGGGGAGGAATTGATTGTCCAAATGTCATGAGGTTAAGAATGCTCTTCAAGTGAAATTGCCTGGCTGCAAGATGGTTTTAATTAGGGTGTTATAAAGACTTATTTTTCCTAAGCAGCATTTTATAGTTAGTAAATGAAATGTATGCCGAAAGTGCTAAGCAGAAATCTCCCTAACCACAGAGGTGTTCAATAACCAGATTAAAAAAACATGGAAAGTACCATCTGTTCTTCGTTTATTGAATGGGTGAGATTTGCTCCAATTTTGATGGTGTCTGCTTTTTTTTTTAATTTAAAAAAGTTCACCTGGTACTTCATAGAAACTTGAAATTGCAGTAATATGAGCAACACTGTGAAAACACATGTTCCTCCATTTATTTTAACCAGTTCCACTTTTATTCAAAAGGTTTCCAGAAGCTCAGCCATTGACCACTTTATAATGGTTATTCAGTTCCTGCAGGCGCTCACAATGAGGGGTCATTTCTTCCAAGATCTGACTATTTAGTGAGTACCTGAATTATTCTGTCAATTTTCCCCTGGAGGCAGGGGAGGTCTCTCACTGCCTCACCCTGGTCGGCGTTTATCGGTTAATCTAATTGTGCGTGATAAGGCTGTGGACTGGGGCAGAGCTGTGGTCTGTCTGGGATTGTTGATCACAAGCAAAATATTCTTTTAAGGATAAATTTTGAGTCCTTGACTTTTAGACACTAAGAGCCTTGGTCCAGGGTTTAGTGAGAGCCCTGGGTAAAACATTATCCAGCCTTTGTTTGAGGTCTTTTATTGAAGCTAATGACTGGGCTTGTGCCTCCCCGAGATAAATGACATTATCTCTGAGTGGGCTGACAGGAAACAGACATGTTAATGGTGAAGCTGCGGGGAGGATCTGCTCGGGTTCTGACAAAAGAGTTGAGAAGGGACCCCTGGTTGTGGTCATTAACACATAATGCATTCTTGCTCTTCCTAGGAGGCCCTTGATAATTGGAAAGCTATTTTAACCACAAGCACTTAAATCATAAATCTACTACTCCTGGTTCCTTTGCACCCTTAAAAGTAGCAAAGTAATGTGTTTTCGTTAACAAGTGTGGATCTGGTTTTCTAAC